CCTTCCTCCTCTCTCCTCCTCCTCCTCCCTCCTCCTCTCCTCCTGGGTCTGTGATTCCGGAGTTTGTCGTTCCTGGAATCTGCTCCTCTCCTCCTCCTCCTCCTCCTCCTCGTCCTCCTCTTCCCCCTCCTCCTCGTCCTCCTCCTCCTCCTCGTCCTCCACCTCCTTCCTCCTCCTCTTCGTCCTCCTCCTCCTCCTCCTCCTCCTCCTCCTCCTTCAGGGGTGGATAGACCTCCTACCCTGACACGTCGATTATTGAATTGGCCGTTTTCGGTTCGCGAGAGGGCATCGCGGCCGTCACTTTTGCGGGTCCAGGTCCGTCGTTTTCGTTCCTAGGCCGCTTTCACTAAACGGAGGTTTACGAAAGGGAGGTTTGTCCACCGCCGAACGGTGGGGGCGTTGGTTCAGGAATGTGCCCAGGAGGCTCCGGAGCCTGCAGGATTCCTTACCTGGTAAGGGCGGCTGTGATTTCCATGGTCAGGCCCCAATTGGTGTTCCACCAACTTCCAGACCTTGGATTCCTTATCTAAGGGTTCCTTATCCAATGTCGTCACCGTATTCCGGAGTGGTAAAGATGGAGCCCAGGGTGTTCCGGTTGACAGTAGAGTCTGGAATGGGACTACGTTGTTGGTCTTGTGTGCATTGTGGTGGAATGGTGATACTGCGGCCAGCGGGAGGGGAAACTGATCCATCCACATGACAACATTCCGTTATGGTTGCCACCTAATGATAGCAAGCCTAGCTCCATCACTCCGAGATACTGGACCAAGGTCGACGAGGATTTCGGAGTCGGCCTCCTCAGCCCTGCGACGGTGGCAACCACGCCGCTGCGAGTTCAGCGCGGAAAGGCGCGCCAACGACGACAATGGGCACGTCAAGTACGACATTGTCAGGAGGGAAAAAACAGACACAATTAATCGTCGATTCCCCAAAAATATGGGGAACTATGGGAAGTGGGGGGGAAGACAAGAACCCAGAAAATATAGGAAAATATAGGGGAATATTTTGACGTGTGTGTATTTACCTGTGTGTCCCTGAGCTCCTTCACATTGGCGTGCCAGCAGGTGCCCCGAGGGAGGTTCGCATCCCCCCCGGGGCGTCGGGGAGTGACAGAGGCCTCGGTGCGCTGGGGGAGGCTCGAAGTCCGACGACAAACGCGGCCCGATCTGTCTAGCCTTCGTTGGCGTCGTCGTCGTCGTCTTCGTCGTCGTCGGCGTCGGCGTCGTTGTCGTCGTCGAAGTCGTCGGAGACGTCGTCGGTGTCGTCCTAGTCGTTGTCGTCGGTGTCGTCGTAGTCGGTCTTAAGAGGTTTTGCAAACCAAGTTGCGGGTGGGTGGGTGGGATGTTTGCGCGAGCAGTGGAGATGACGACTTCAAGTTCAGCAGAGTGGATGCAAACCTGTAGCACCCCATGGTATATTGGGCTGGCCTCCGGCCAGAGCCGCCGACCCGGGGGGGGGTTAGAGCGAGTACCCCACTGTCCCCGGGTACCGAAACACGTCGGAAATGACGTCGGAAATATCACCGGGTACCGAAAAACGTCTGAAATGACGTCGGAAATATCCCCGTGTACCGAACAACGTTGGAAATGACGTCGGAAATAACGTGCCCCCCCCCTGCAGAGCGAAGCTTGAGCGAGCTCAAGTCCACTCTTTCAGAAACTCACACGCCAGATCGGCGGATATCCTATGGTGCGATATGTCCTAGATCCGATATCCGATCTGTCTAATACAGAACCTGCGTCTAGATGCCACAGGCTATATCCTCTGGTATCTACCTGTCGTGCGAGTGAGGCCTCTTCGTGAATGCCCTGCCCCTCGACGTCCGCGAGGCCTCCATCTTCGCATGCTGAGGGCGATGCGCCGTCGAGCTGAGCGTCTATCGCAAGGCGGGTTCGAGCTCTCGGTCGCGCTAGCTTTGAGTGGACGCGTGGGCTCCACAGGCTCGATCCCAATCCTGATCATCCACCTCCTCTCGCCCCACTTCACCCTTTTCTTCTTCAACCTCCTCTTGTTGCCTCCCCCATCACCCTCCCCATCGCCTCTCCTGCCCCTCCCCCTCCCGGCACGCCCGCCAAGCTCGCCGGAGCCCTGGACGCGCTACTCTCCAAGGCGCCCAGGGGGCTCTTGCAGCAGCGCGATTTCGACGACGGCACTGGCGAGGCGGGCGGGGTCTGCTTGGTGGGGCCCACTCCTCCTCCTCCTCCTCCTTCTCCTCCTCCTCCTCCTCCTCGCCCTCTTCCTTCTCCATTTCCTCCTCCTTCTCCTCCTTCTCCTCCTCCTCCTCTTCCTCCGCCTCCTCTTTCTCCTCCTCGCCACCCTCTGCTCTCATCCCTACCCCTCCTCCCCCTCTGGCCCCTCCGCCCCTTTTGCCCGCCCCTCCCTCTCCTCTCATCTCTCCGTGCTCTCCTCTTACTCTTCTCCCGCCTCTTCCTCCTCCTCCTGCTCCTTCTCCTGCTCCTGCTCCTGCTCCTCCTCATCCTCTTTCTCCTCTCACCCTTCTCCCTGCTCCTGCTCTCATCTCTCCGTGCTCTCCTCTTACCCTTCTCCCTCCTCTTCCTCCTCCTCCTCCTTCTCCTCCTGCTCCTGCTCCTCCTCATCCTCTTTCTCCTCCTCTTCCTCCTCTTCCTCCTCCTCTTCCTCGTCCAGCCCCGAGGCGGTGTGGAAGATCAGTGCAGACCAAATCGAACACGCGGCATCGAGTTCGAGTTTGGGATGTTCTAGCTTTTCCTCGTCCCTCTCTCCTCTCTGTAGCCGTGTTCGTCGATGTTGGTTACACGGTTTACCACAACTTGAAGCACCGGCAATGCTCGCGCAGCCGCATTGCCGCGGCCGCGGCCGCGAGAATTCAGCCGTTGATCCGACGCCAGGGGGATATTCGTCATTGGTCCTAAACATACCCTTACCTGAGGTCGGCCTGGGTGAAAAGGACCTTTCGCTGGATTGGGCGCTTGTCACTGCGCCCGATCAGCCTGCCGCGTGCTCTCTGGTTTCAGCATCCCCGCTTCAGGACGCAACGACACGCTGAATGGCTGGTTGTTTGATTGCAGCGACATGCCCTGGTTTGCGTCAGGGACGTCTGGGGTCATCAGGGGCAGGCACCACCGCTCCGTTGCGTTTGGGCATGGGAGCGTCGTTGCAATCTCAAGCCTCCCCGGTGGCCTCTGCGGTCGCATTCGGGAGAGCTTTCTGGGGCCGCGCGGGCGCCCGAGAGCGATTTCGGCCAAACGCCACCTCGACTAGGTACGGGTATGTCTCCGGGGGTACCATCAACGCGCGTCGGCGACGGCACCCCCCGACACGTACCCGGACCTAGCTGGGGTGTTGCCGGGAGGGTTTTCCATGGAGCAGTCCCTGGCGACCGCGCCTGGCGTTCGGGGCCCCAGGCGTTTGGGGCGAGCGCGGGGTTGCAGCGGCGCCCGCCCAGGACACCCAGGACGCATTTTGCACGTCGAGCCCCAAACGCTTGATTGTGCGCCATCGTGGGCGCACCTTCGAACGAGCTACTCTAGCCTCTAGCCCGAGAGCGACCAATGCGCGGTCGGCCACTATTCCGATTGGAACGCACGCGCCTTCGGCGCCAGCGATGCCCGGAGAAGGCAGCGCCCTGTAATGTTCCATGGGCCGTCGCATCTGCACTTGCGCGACCGCCGTCGGCTGCGGCGTGTCGCTCCCCCCGCCCCTTGCCAGGTACGGGTATTTGTCGCCCTCGGGAATTCGGGATCTCATCGGGGAGCGTCCGGAGGGGTGACACTCTGCGTGCGGCGCCCTATTTTGGTGACGCCCACTCGGCCGGCCTTGACGGATAGTTCCCCTGAGGGCCAGTGGTCGGTTGTCTTTCGTCCTGGGCCTTGGCCCCTTCGCTTTGGGCCCAGCGTGCTCCTCCAGCCCCGAGGCGACACGTTTCAAGTCTGGCGCTGATGCGGCCGGCCAGGCTGCGAAGCTTGGGGCCGCCGCGCCTTCCAAGCCGTTTCGGGAAGAGGCCAGGCGCCTGGAGTGGCGGGTTCCTGCCTCCAGGACTGTCTGTAAGCGGGCGGCCAGGCTGCTCCCGACCTGGCCGCGTCCCGATTTGAACGATGTGCCTGCCGTTGCTCCTGCTCGGCCCCCGCGCCCAGCAGGCGAATGGGCGTCGGTCGAGCATCCCTGGGTCTGGCATGCGCCCGACTGGCGCTGCCATGAGTATCCTGGGATTCAAGGGGCAGGAGGCTCTTGCGTCCTGCCGTGGGGTGCGCGGACGCGCTCCCCGCGGTGGCTGTGGAGGTCTCGGCGAAAGACCATAGTGGGACGCTCCTGGAACGCTCGAGTCGCAATCTGCTAGATGTCGGACACTGGAGCATATACGTTACCAGTGGCGGGCTGCTTTGCAATCTCCAGAATTTTTGAGGGTCGGGGGCGACGACTGGGTGGTGTGGTGTATATTTGTTTCCACGTTTTCCCGTGGAAACAACGAAGAATGTATACACCAGGATCCCGTATACACCAGGATCCGCTTTCCTGTGCGAGTTCCAGTGCGGGGCCGGAAACAGCGTCGGTGTATATAGAGATCGGTTCCTTGAGTTGTGCGCATGTGCTGCCAAGATGTCCCGGCTCTCGGCCAGTTCGGTAAACTCCGATCCGCACGCGTCGGCTGGATGGAGACAGAGCCCCGGAGCATTTGTCGAAGGCAAAGCGTGGCCCCCACCTTTTGACTCCGTCGCCTGAAGAATCCCCCGCAGCCTCTGACATCCCGCGACCCCCAATTCTCCCCAGACCCCCTCGCCTTGTGAAACAAACCACGACGGGAGTTGTTTTTGCTGCTATGTTCGTCCCCTGGGGGCCTCTGCCGGGCCTCGGGACCGTCAACACTGGTGATGGGCCTGTTTTCCACCACCACCACCATAAGTTGGAGGCGGAGGGGGTCCTCCTCCTCCTCCTCCTCCTGCTCCTCCTCCTCCTCCTCCTCCTCCTCCTCCTCCTCCTCCTTCTCCTGCTCAAGCATCATCGAGCTCAAGATTGAACCACGCATGGAGACGGACAAGAGCAACCAAAGCATTCCTTCCTTCATCTTCAACACAAAGGAGTACAAGGAGCAGCTGGCCACCTGTCTGGACGCATGCGACATCGATCAAATGTCGCCCACGGAGCAGTGGGAGTGCGTCAAGCGGCAGATGATCCTGGCCGCGGAGGGCGCACGAAACGTCATGATGCGGACGCCCATCGGTGACAACTCCAACAATGACATCGAGGCCAGGTGCATGGCGCTGCGGGCGATCGCTCGCGCTGTGTGGCGCCAGGACCGCCGGCTGGCGAAGCGGCTGCTCGAGCGCACTGCTGCTGGCCCTGTCCACCTTCGACTGGAGGACACAGCTGTGGTCCTGCGGGACGCGGCGCGCTTCGAGGCGGAGGTCCTCTCACTCAATGAGGCCCGTAGTAACCAACTTTTAGAACAAAACAGGAGTAGAGATGAATCGCGACAAACCAACCCGCGTGGCTCCCTGGGACGGGCCAAGCAGGCCCTCTTCCGCCGTGCCCTGTTGTGGAAACCCCAGGGGCGCAGACTCGTTCTCCAAGGGGTGCAACATTCCCAGGAAGGCCACGGCGATGTCGTTCTCCGAGGCGGCCAAAACATTTCAGATGCCATCAGGAACCATTGGGGGCCAGTGTTTCAAGAGCGGATTGAGGACACCCCCCAACAAGACACGTTGATAGAATCCCACCTCCCCCCCCCTGATGTTGTGGACCTTCCTCTTCCTACTCTCTCTGACCTCAACTGGGCTCTGTCGAAGGGGAAGTCCTCGTCCCCTGGCCCCGATCGGCTCCCATATAAGGCGTGGCGTGCACACCCGAGGCTAGCTATCATACTTCACTTCCTCCTTCTCTCGCTTTTTCATGACTCCCCCCCTCCTGCCACTCTCAACCACAGTTTGTTAGCCTTCATTCCCAAAGGCGAAGAAGAGCTCGACCCAGTTGACTGCGCCCGCCAGCCTGGACAGTTGCCCCCATTGAGTCTCAAGAATTGCGATGCCAAAGCAATGGCTACCTGCATCAACCGCAGGCTCAAGCATGTAGCAGAAGCTCACACCCACACAGTACAGCAAGGATTTGTCAACGGCAGGAATTTTGCCAGACATATTGTTAGGCTTGACTTTTTGACCCGTATTGCTAGCATAGGCGATGATGCCCCGCGTCGTAAGCCTGTTTTTGTCAGTTTTGATATTAAAGCCGCTTTCCCTAGCATGAGCCAGATCTGGCTCGGCAAGGTCTTGAGGCGTTTCCGTGTTCCCTCCATGTACCGTCGGGCCATCCGTGCACTCATGCACGCTTCGGTAGGTTTCATGCGAGTAGGCTCTGAGGTGAGAGAACCTTTCACTCTTCGGTCTGGGGCCCCGCAAGGCTGCCCTCTCTCGGGGGCCCTCTGGGCCTTAGGGATGGACCCCATAGTGCGTTCTCTTGTTTCTGGTCTCGAGGCCGCGGGAGGCAAAAGCGAGGACCTTGGAGCTTGCGCGGACGACGTCGGGGCAGCACTTCGATCGGTCACCTTTCTCCCTTCTCTCCTCCCCTCGTTTGATGCTGCTGCTGCCCTTGCTGGCCTTCTCCTCCAACCGGAAAGGTGCTGCCTGGTTCCGCTCTGGAGTCTCGCCTACCATCCGACGCGACAGGCCCTAGTATCGTTCTTGCAGAGCAACATTCCAGCATGGGCATCATTCTCGATAGAGCCAGCCACTAAATATTTAGGCATCCTGATGGGTCCTGGCGCGTCTCTAGAGGACGAATGGGAGGCTGCTGGTCAGAAATGGTGGGTGCGCGCGAGGGAGACGGGGGGTGGCCGAGCTCCGACAGCAGCCTCCATCGCCCTCTATCACACTCGATGCTTGCCTGTCCTTAGTTATCTGGCCCAGTTCTTTGCCATCTCTCCACATGTGCTCAAAAAGGAGACGTGGGCGCTCCACGCGCTCCTCCGCATGCCGCCGAGCTCTTTCAAGCGCAGTTAATTGTTCAGCATAGGGAACTGGCTTCGGTCTGGAGCACCGCAATCTGTCCCGCTCTCAACGGCTGCTGCGGGGTGGAGGATGGCGACGTCGACGCTGTTGGGGGAGTGGGAAGGGATCTTGGAGCGCCATGCGGATGCTGCCGTTGAGTGTCTCCCACTGGTCTCGGCCATCCGAGGCAGGTGGTCCGCTTCGTGCTGGCGCATCCCGCACAGCATTGCCCAGCAATTCGCAGGTTGGAGCGGGCGTGGTCCGAGGCACGCGACCGCGGCCCTCCCAGCGCACTGCGCACCGCGGTCGACGATCGCGGCGGCGGAGGCCGAAACTCGCAGAGAACAGGCTGATCGCCACCGCCGCCGTCGCGTCGCTCTTCAATCGAAGTTCATCTCTATTCTTACCTCTCGCCTCTTCCCTGACGACCTCCACCTCCTTCTCCACCGTCGCTTGTCCTCTGCCCTCCACCCTGTTGCCCCCCTTCGACTGATGAGTTGAAGGTGCGTTGGCAAAAGCTGAAACACATTCTCATTCTGTCGACGCCCATGCGTGTCTGGGCGCATCTCAAGACGTTGGCGGGTGCATGGATCACCTCCCGACGGGTCCACATTTTGACTCCTCTATCCTGCCGATTTGGGTGTGAGCACGCTCCCGATTCTCTCGCCCACTATCTCCTTTGCCCCCGTCTGCTTCACCTCCTCGCCCTCCCTGGTCGCATCTTCCTTCCCTCTGATCCCATCGTCCGTCTCGGACTAGGCTCGGATGCAGAGTACAGTGCAGCAGAAATTTCGAGGCAACGTGCCCATGAACTTACTGCTTTGAGTTTCCATATCTTTCATAAACTCAGCCGAACTGGCATGCCATCCGCACCTGTTCGGCACGTATAGCATTACCACACAGGCTAGGCATTCAGTGATGCTTG